CCCGCTACTGCGCCAGCGAAAGCCCCAGTTCAGGCGGTGCCCGTACAACAAACCCCGCGGTGAGGCTTCTGAAGCCAGGCGAAGCTTTTTACGCCTGCTCAGATGAACCCCTGGACGAGCAGATAAAACAGGCGCATGACCGTACCTAAAACCTGTCCTGCGAAATGTAAAACCTGTCCTGCGAAATGTGTCCGTGTCAAGGCGTGTCCGTGAGCGTACTGGTCACTACTGCAAGTACTATGTGACTGCGTACTGTAGTAGTAATGACTGGTACTGCACTAACTTAAATGAAAGTATTCCCCCAAATTCTTCTAGCAGCACACAGGCTGTGATAAGCACTTCTTACTTGAAGAGTGTTTTTTAGTTTAGGCTAAATATCTAAAGGCTCGTTTCTTGCTCTTTTCTTTCCTCTTTTAGGCAGAATGGATTTGGTCAGGTTGTGATTGTGTTGATATTTGTTTGCAGTGGGGAAATATCTCTTGATAGCTAAAGTACGCCTCTGTCTTATAGATTGGATCACTCAAAAATCACTACCTATTCAGACATAAAAGCCATCCAAGACGGTCTCGAAGAAGTGCCATTCATATCACTAAAAGACTTTCTGATGATGAGCGGGTGAGTGTTACGTTTATTCCTTTTCATGCCCTCTGTTTATTCTGTCTCCTTATTGCTGGCTTTGTAATGAGGTCACAGGCAGGCTTTCCTCGTTTTGCAAGTCTAATATATTCAGCCATCCGTACTTGTGCTGAATAATACTTTATTGTTCTGTCATTAATAGGCAGAATCTTACCCTCTCTTACCATATTTTTTTTGCAAGTGCTTTCCAAATTAAGATTTTAGGTATGCAGCATTGCAGAGGCTTGGAATTTCAGATGTCGATGTCTCGCTGATGAAAATACGGGTGAGGAACCTTAGGGCTCGATTCAAAGTAAAAATCCATAGATGCAGTACGTTTAATCAGGCCACGTCTGTGCAATTACCATGGAAATTAGGTTTGATTGAAAGTGACTGAATATTAAAAAAAAAAAAAAAAAAGTAGGGGGAAAGGGCTGAGGTTTTGCGGATTCGCTTCTTCCATGACAAGCTAAAACCCCTTCTCAAAGGATCCATCACACGTCCCAGGCTTTTAGTCTTTTGGTGCACTGGGATCCCACTGCAGTCAGAGAGCAGGCACGCTGGAGAGCCAGGGCTCTAAGGTATGTGGTGAAGCAGACTCCCCATTTATTGGACTTCACTGGTGAAGCAGATTCCCCGTTTATTTGACTTTCTTTAAGGCAGAAGCATACCTGTTTGTAAACAGAGAAAAGGAGGTGGGTGGCAAATTTAAGGAAGAGACCAGAATGCTGTCAGCCCTTCTTTAAACACAATTTCTGGAAAATTTCAGAACAACAGAATTTGAATTTCAAGTCAGCATTGTTGCAGCAATCATTGTAAAAATACAAGCAGTCCAAAACATGAAGTAGCCTAGTTGTGAAACCCAGCAATTTATCGTGCAAGGAGAAATCATGTGAGAACGAGTAGTGGGTTATCTGGAGATTTTAGGTGCAAGTGTCCTCTAGGAGGAAATGCTCTCTGCGTAGCTAGAAGAATTAAAGGAGAGGGTGAGGCAAGGTATTTGTTTTGCCCATCCTGTTTCAAAACTGTACGCTCCCATCCATCTCCTTGCAAACGTTGGTTTAACAGTTGAAAGTCTTCTAGGTGAAATCATTCTAAACCGGGGGTGTTCAAAACCACGGCTTCGGTGTAAATTAGTGTTCTAATTTATACCCGTACCAATGATCAGATGTTCAGTGCCATCATAATGCAATATTCAGGAACAGAGATTTGGTTGCAGTTCCTCCTTTTTTTGTACTTATTACATCGAATGCATCTCTCACACAGGGAAGCGTGACCATGTTTAATATACCAAATTCCAATCTCGTCAGCAGAATGGAAGCAGTTGTGTCACACACATTACTGTCAAACATTATTGCAGACTTACATACTTAGATGCAAAAACAGAGTTTCAAAGTGCTGCAGGTGATTTGCTAAATTTACTCCCATTTCCCTTTTATTTACTATCTAGTATGCAAATTATCTATGTGAATGAATGAGATGTAATTATGTCATTATGTAAGTATATAAACACAAAGCAATCATGTAATGCTCTGTAGTTATACGTGGACCTTTGCTCCAAAAAGCTACTCTTGCTCAGCAACAGCCTATTTAAAAAGATTTGAATTCAATCTTGAAAAAGAGAGAGAGAAGGGAACCCTGCTTTTGTTTGTATAACGCCTTCATGAATTTTACGGTTATGTTAAGTGTGAAAGCTGCGGTAAAACTTGGCTCTAATCTGAGTATTTATCTGCTTCCTATAGGTATCCCAGCGTTTGCTGTAAAACAGATAAAGGCTGTGAATATACTGAAAGGATATAATTATCTGGTTCCCTGAGTTCTTCCAGTGTTTGCAGTAGTTTCCAAACCTACTTGCTTGCAAGAGACCTGAATCAAGATTATTTTCGCTGCTTTATATATCAGCGAGTGGAGATTTGGCACAGGGCCTTCAGCTTTTGCTGTAGATGGATGGTTGGAACCTCAACCAGCTGCTGAGTGACAAATGCTTGGCTTGTTTGTCTGACATATGTGCTTGGTAGTTTCAGCTCATTTCCCTCAGTGCAGTTGTCCACTTCGAAAAAAATAACAAGCGTGGCAGTTGTCAATTGTTAATTACTGCTGGGTGCTGAAGAGGCCAAGCTTTGCGGTGGGCAGGGAAGAGCGATAAAGGTAATTGCTCTGACCTGTGCACAAGTATGTATGGCCCTGGATATCAGTAGGGCAGTTTGAAATACTTAGACTTGCATGGGTATATTCATCTTCTGTGACTGCCTACGGTTTGTTGGGGCTTTAGCACTAAATATATAGCAAAGGGAATAGCGTTAGAGAGCTTTCAGTAAACATACCTGGTGCAGCTCCCATTTTTAAGGGTTTATGTTCTTGCAGTGCACTTTCATTAGGCTCTCACTAGAAAATCGTATTTTGATCAAATCAGTACTTTTTAATCGTTATAATTTCTGAGTCACTCTTATTAATGTTTCATATATGGTGATATACGTAAGGACCATAAAGCCATTGGATCACAGTAGAGAAAAATACTGGAGTCTATTCAGACGTTTAAAGCGGGAGGTTAGATCCAAGGCATCCTCCACTTGAGGCTTATAGCAGTATCTTGGCAATCTACTGAACCTGAGTTTGCCTTGCTCATCTGGAAATTGGGATGAAAAGCACCAACTTGATCTGTGTCAGAGTGACCGTCCATGTGCTAGCACTGAATAACATTCTATTCGCATTTCCAAAAGGAGCACACAGCAGAGAGAGAGGTATCGGAATTGCGATTTGATTTGAACCGGGTTCAGTAATGCATTCAAGGGAACAAAGTGGGGATGCGCTTTTAAAATCCAGCCTGGTGACTCGGAGATTGCTGTGTCCGTGAGGAAATGCTACGCAACTCCTATAGATAGATGCTTTAGCAAAACACGCCGAAACATTTTGGCTTTCAGTTGCTTTAAGTGGAATTATGCCAGTGATGAAGTTAGTCCAATATTCATGGCTTACTAATTGATCACACTTCCAAACAGCTCTGGGAAGGAGACTTGAAGGTCCAGCTGAGCTATGAGTAACAGTGTCATTATGATTGCTAGACTAAAGCCAGAGATAATCTTTCTCCTTTTCTTTTATCTCCCGTTAGAAATAGATAGGCATTAACATGTAGGTAGGAGAAAGAAGCCGGCTGTGGTTTTGCTTGTTTCGGTAACCACCACTGCTTGGATACCCTCCTAACTGCACTGCACATTTGGTATACAAGCCTGCATTGTGCGGCGCTCACAGGCATTCTGCTGCTAGCTTGTACTTAATGATTTTCTATGAATTGATTATATAATATCTTGATTTCACCAAGTCCTCTTCCCCAAAGTACACTGTACTGCAGTATAAATAATCCTCCTCTCTACATCAAACGTGGCTTATTTTGCTTTAGGCATCAGAATTCTGCTATGTGAGGAAACCCCTTGCCCTCTAGGCTAATAAAGTCCTAACCTATAGAGGCTTACTTGTCATATTTATACAAATAATTGTAGGTGTCGTGGGCAGAGCAGCAATATGAAAAAAAGCGAACTAAGCGTGCCACCGTGAGAGAGACAGCAGAAAATCTTTTCAATGATCCCATGTGGAATCAGCAGTGGTATCTGGTAAGAATTTGTTTTGTTGTGGAACTGGGGACGGTGGATTTCAGTTGTGCTATCAGCTGTGCTATTTCACTTGTATCAGAGCGATTGCACTGGAGGGAGTGAGTGAAGAGCCTGTCTCGTTAGCATATGCTGTACAAATGAGAGATCTCTGATAATATTTCCAGGCAACCTTCTGTTTTCTTTACAGTGTCATTTGTGCAAAGACTCTAAAAGACAGTTCAGGCTGCTGCTTGGGATGGGCATTGGTATTAGAAAGCAGCGTAACGATTAAAAGCTACCTTTGTGATAGTGTTAAAATACTTGCTGTTGGCATATAAAAAGTCCCTTATCATGTCTGAAGCTGGCCATGTATTTCTTTATTAAAATTGGTAGAGCAGAGTGCATACTCTAGCTGAAAACAAAAGCGTGTGCGTGCATGTGATGAGCACCTTCAGACTCTTGGACTAGGATTTAAATAGAAGAGGGTCTCTACAGCTCACGTGTTCAAAACCTGAAGGAAAAGAAATTTCATTAGCTCTGTAGTTTCTGTCTGCATGCGACAACTCAGAAATACAGTTGATCGTTTATGTTTTATATGGTTTATTTCAAGAGTCTGTATTTCCACTGTGCATCTAGCTGTACCTTCAGTCCAGGCTTCGTTGCTTTCGCTCGGAACAGGGGTGGGATTAACGGTGGGAATAACAAATCAAGAAGAAAGGTCAAGCTCAAATGTGGCCCAGGTGCCTGGAAATACCTTTCTCCAGTTCAGCTTGGAGAAAACAGACCAAACTGTAGGCCGTTCGCATAATGCTTTGCCCTCTCTTTCCATTGTTTGAGCTAGGAAAAATAAATTATAAACAAACAAACAAACAAGCAAATAATAAATTAATAACTAAATTAAGAAATTAATTAATTATAAAATATAAATTATAAAAACATATCCATGAAGATTCCTGTAGACTTCTTTTCAACATAAAAAATGTTTGTCTTTAAGAATTTAACTTTTATTTGAAGCTGATTATCTGTTTGCTTCTTTGCCTGTTTCCAGTAGGAAGCAGGAAATTTCTGAGATGTCTGTATTGGACAAATACACAAACACAGAGAGACATCAAAAAAGCAGTTTTGTGAAAAAAGCAATGTCTTGCTCTCCAGGAGACATGGTTCCTTTTTCCACCTTTCTGTGGTTTTCACTTCTTTTCCTTCGAGTTTTCCCACATGAGAAAAAGAAACACGATACTTACCCTTGTTTGCAGTGCACATTGAATTTTTTCCGATTAAATGCATAAATGTATTGAATATTTTCTTCCAAAATATGTTCCTTGCCTTGTAGTAAATAACTTATTATTACCTTATTATTATGATTCGATGGCAACAGTTTTTCAGTGTACCTTCACACATGACCAGAAAAAATAATCATTTGATGGATTCTAGAGAACAAAACTTGAAACCTCAAATAATTCCCTGAACAGCAGCAGTCAGAAAAGAAAGCATAGAATGAAAGAAAGGTCATTCCCATAACGAATTTATTTTTCTAAGCCTCATATTGTATGCAACATTCCTTTGGAAACAAAGAAATGAAAAACCTGCGATCAACTAATGTAATTGTGCACAGAGAAACAGAAGAAAATGCCTTTTTAACATCTGTATTTTTATGGGGATTGTAAGCAAGTTTTCTAAATTAGATGTATATACTGCGCATTAATATTAGAGAGGAAAAATGACCCATTTAGGAGCTACTCTTCAAAGAACTTGCTGTGGAGGAGAAGGCTATAGATGATTCATGCTTCCAGTTGATTTACTGCAGGAACAGTAATGAGGGTAGTAAACAGAAAGTTGTGATTCAGCACAGTTGTTCCTAACCAAACGACTACCTTAATTGTTTTATCCATTAATTATTTTGCTCTGGCTCACTTGAATGTCAAAGGAGAAAACACATTTGGAGAAAAGGCAGCTCACTGTACTGTGGGGTACTGTCTTGGCTTCTCATCAAGTGAAAAGAACAAACATTAGCAGGTCTGATTATTAACTCAGTGCTCCAAGGTTCATCGGTACATCCCTACCATTCCCATGTTTCTGCTGCCTACCTCCAATAAATACAAGATGCTCTTTGTTCAGAGGTGGTCTTCAGGGATTTTCAAGTAATGGGGTAAATCCTTCAGTGCTACAAGTATTTGAAGAAACTAATTTCTGTTTCATCTTTGCAAAATTTGAACAAAATACACAGGTTCAGACTGGGATGATTTAGAGCACCTTTAAAATACCACTTTGGACCTGTGTAGTATAAATGCATAAAAATGTTGACATGTTTTACTCCTTTCTGTCCCCCAGCAAGATACAAGAATAACTCCGTCCCTGCCCAAACTGGATCTCCATGTTATTCCTGTCTGGCAAAAAGGGATTACAGGCAAGGGTGTTGTCATCACAGTACTAGATGATGGCTTGGAGTGGAATCACACTGACATCTACACTAACTATGTAAGTTTGGGCATTAGAATACTATGGAATAAATTATCCAATTCTAGATTTTATATACAGACACTCTTCTCCAGCTTGCTGCCTGTTCTGTAAGTCAACTGCTGCAGTACAGAGACTGAAATATTTGCCGTAGGCATAATTTGGAACCTGGTCTGTGTCACAGGAAGCTGAATGTTACTTAGCGGGTGGTTTTTTTTTTTTTCCCTCTCACTGGATTTGGTTCCCAGGCATGTTTGCATATAGTGGTTTAATGCTGAATTATTAAAGCTCTGTGAAAAATTTATGGAATTGTTAATGCCCATCAAATTCTGCCAACTTGATTGCTGTCAGCATGAACCACACCGAATAAATAAAAACAGACTCTGCAACCCATTTTGTTACACATGTTAAAATGCGTTTTCTAATCATCCCAATTAATTCTGTGTTTGTTTGTTTGTTTGTTTTTTTAATGTAGGATCCACAGGCAAGTTATGATTTCAATGACAATGATCATGATCCCTTTCCTAGATATGACCCAACAAACGAAAACAAGTGAGTAGCCTCCTGGTTGTGTGAAGAGAACAAAACAGTACATTATTAATTTGTGTGTTAGAACATGCGAATGCCAAAGTATCTATGTCTGTCCTCTATGACAATTATATAATAAAAGGAAACATTTGTATAACAGAATCACAGCATGGTTGAGGTTGGAAGGCACCCCTGAGCATCCTTTGGTCCGAGCCCCTCCTCAAGCAGGGAGACCTAGAGCCAGTTGCCCAGCACCATCTCCAGATGCTTTTGAGTATTTCCAAGGAGGGAGACTCCACAGCCTCCCTGGGCAACCTCTGCCAGTGTTGGTCACCTTCACAGTAAAAAAGTGTTTCCTGGTGTTCGGAAGGAACCTCTTGCCACGTAACATTGGCATAAACACTGAAAACTAAGAAAATTACATTCCCAGATGAAGAGCTTCATAGTTGTAATCTCTATAATGTCCTCAATTTCTAATACCTTTTTATATGTAAGATACTGATACATTTCTGTAAGCTGAAGGGAACAATCTATTCATGTCACCATGCGTGTTTCTAGAATGATACCTCCCTAAGCAGGTTTTGACTTCATTTCTCTGCTTTGCACTGGAAATTTTAAAAGAATGTCTCCTATGAAGGGCTCTGGAAGAGACTATGTCTTAGAGGAACCTACCAAGAAACCCATCCCTTCAGGCCAGCTTTTGTAGCTAAGGATGCTGTTTTCCAGTTTTGGTGATACCATTTGGACCAATAGAATAGCTTCTAGCTCAGTATGGACAATCACAGGTGAAGTCATGCTTCTGACCTCCTCTGATACGGGTATGTCACGCGGTCAGACAACGGAGGAGGTTACAGTTACTCCTGGGACAATCTTTCTGACTCTTCTGAGGCACGTGGAAGCTTTATTTAGATCAGATTTGGCCTAAATGTCCTCAAGATAATAACCTAGGAAGTTTCAAAAGGCTGGAACATGACAACCAGCCAGTGGACTTCTGGAATTTTCTCTGATGGCCTCTCTAGAGCTACCTTTTTGATACTCTCTGGAACATCTTGATGGGTCTGTCACACCTAGGCATATCCGTGGTAGTTCAGGGAGGGATTTTGTCCATCACAAAGAGAAGAGAATGGACCTCTTTAAAAGCTGGTACACAGAAGTCAATTTCTTAAACCAATTAGGATGCCGCTACTCAATAAAGATACAGTAAGAAACTGATGCACTGGTTCCCTGTTGTCTATCAGACAAGACAATAGCATCCACAACATAAATCAGTGTATGAGGAAAAAACCCAATCAATCAAATGATAAATGTCCCATGAATAAGGCATTTGAAAAGTGACATTAGTACTTTGTTACAGCATTATTTAAGAACAAGAAGCAATATCCTCTTGTTCTGATGACATTATCTCTTAAATCTACCTGTATTACCTCTAATCTTTATTAATAAGTAAATGGAATTCAGCCCAGAAGCATTCAAACACTTCATTGAATAACAATCTGTAGTATTAAATAATACAACTCTTTTACAATTACAGTTATATGAAGGTTTTCTGCATTATAGAATAGGAATCACCCATGGCAAAAAAGAATTACATAGAAAACAGTTGGTTACAAGAAAAAATTAGCAACAATGAGGATACTTTAAAGGCTAACTTTCTGAAACGCTAAATAAATGCATTCATTAAAAAAAAGCATCTAAATGTGTGATTAAAAAAGACTTGTATCATATTCCTGTCTAAAGAAGTTTGGCATCTTCTTGGCCCCATAATTTTGCGGTACTTTTGCACTCTACTAAAAAAATGGTATCTAATAGGTCTATGGACTTCAGTGTGACTTATGTTAGGTATTTATCATCTCATCACAGTGACCCTTTGATCATTAAGTAGGTAAAATTGATTGAAGCCTAAGAGGAACAGGTGTTTTTTGTATCATGTTGATACAACTCAAAAGCTATTCAATAGCTGCATTGCATTCATTTAAAGGAGGACTTCCACCAAATCAAGAAAGTCATTGATGAGTCTTTGTGTACATTACATGAAGATGTTATGAGATGTTGTTTATTCTTACTATATTTATTCAGGCATGGGACACGGTGTGCAGGAGAAATTGCCATGCAAGCCAACAACAGAAAATGTGGAGTTGGAGTAGCCTACAATTCCAAAGTTGGAGGTAAGAAAATGGAGATAACTAGATGTCTAACATGAAGGGAAACCAGACAGATCCTGTGAAGTGCTGAGTGTTTTCAGCTACCATTAATCTGAAATACGAATGATAGGTCCTTCTCAGAAAACACCGGTCTTGCAGTATTAGGCTACAAAACCCTGTCTGGCCGTAGTGGAGTGTTACATCTAGATGACAGCATGTCTTGAATGTCGGCATACTCTCTGGAATTTGGTTATCAGTTGAATACAAGTAGAATATATAACAACAGCAACAACAGTATAGGTGGTGGTGATGATGATGTGATAATAATAATAGCAACAACCTATATTGTACCCAGACACAAGACTGTATCTTTTAAGGAACGATGGACTCAATTCTTATAATTGGTTATCTTGGAAGGAGGTGGGATGGGGGAGGAGAGGGATTGAGTAAAGTAAGAATATACGAATTTATACCCACCCTTGCTTGCAGCATATTGTTTCCATCTACACAATTACATTCGAAAGGTCACGTCAGTCAAGATAGTCAAACTGCTGTGGTTTTTGTTTCAACAGCTTACTTCTCTACCATCATCATAAGTTAATTTTGAAAATAAGTAGAGTCTTGCTTGCCTGTCAATCATTATTGCCATTTTTTTTCGAAGCAGTGACTAAAAGTTTAATCCATTAGAGGTTTATGAAATAGTCATGATCAAAGTATCAGTTGCAAATGGTTATTTAGCTCAGAGGAAGATACTTGTACAGTCCTAGTTTTTCCATTACTCCCTTTTTTCCTTTTAAACAAAGGGATGATGAGTGGCAATTGACACCCATAACTGCTGTTCCCACCATTTCAGTCTTATGTTTGTAGGTTCCCATTTACTCTACTGAGCTGTCATAGATGTCAGCTTTGCAGTCTGCCTTTGCCGTAATGTATTATGCTGTCATGCTCTGTTTAAATAAAATATCTCACTCATAAGATGAAGACGCCAAATTTTCAAAGCAGGGCAAAATGGATGAAGCTGCAGAGATGTCTGAACTCCCGCTGTGCCCATATTTTAAGGCACTTGCATCTACAGAGAAGATTCTTGCACAGTTAATTTGCATATGCTCTGTGCTCATTTGCAAATGCAAACTACAGATCTGTGTGGGGTGATTTGTCTAGGAAAGGAAAATAACAGAAGGAAAAGCAGTCCAGCAATCCAAATTACCCAGAAAGCTGCTTATACCTGGGCGGGGGAAGGAGAAAGAATAGAAAAGTTGAGAGAAATTGTAAGCTGTTACATGTGACTAGCCTGACTAAGAGACGTAACAAAAATATGTTCAAAGAGCAATGGAAGATAGGAGAAGTCTTCAAAAGATTCAGATAAATTTGGAGTGGCTAAACATTGGAAGGCTTTTTTGATGTTCCAAGCTATACAGGGATTCATTTCTTCACTGGTTTTTTTTCTCCTTTTTTTTTTTTTTTTTTTAAATCCATGAAATGATGCATTACACGCTTCTATTTGACATTCGTTCAGGATGACTTCTTTAAGTGGCTGTTTGCTTGTAGCAATTGCCATACTGGGTAAATCCAGTGGTCCACAGGCAATGCCTTCTCTCTGATAGTCGGCAATAGCTGCTT